ATGCCCCCGAGTCCACCATTCAAAGCAGCCATTTTTCTCCGGGAGAACTGATCTCTGTCGTCTGGAGATGAGCCGCATTCGGATCCCCACTCTTCCATGAAGCTCGCTAGGTGACCTTGAGCTAGTCTCTGTCTTTCTTTCAACCTAATTTACCTCACAGAGCTACTGGGAGGACAAACAGGAGAAGGAAACTATGCACACGTCGCTGAGTGTCTGGGAGGAAGACCAAATATAACAGATAGACCCCTTTCAGCCACTCTGTCTCCCAACAAGTAGCCACCGGCCAGTTGGTCCAGTAGGAAACCCACAAGAACTGCCCTTGCTTGACTCCCGCACTGGTGTTAGAGGTATACTGCCTCTGACCATGGAGGCTTTGAGAAAGTCCTACAGTGGCAGTCTCACAAGCCCTCTCCCTTGTTTGCTACTCACGTCTCGACATCCAGATGTAGACCGCTCCTTAACTTAGTGGCTCCATTTAGCTACCCTGTTTACCAGCTTTTGATTTTGTCTAGTCTCTCTATGAAGCTACCAGATGCGTCTTGCAGAGGCATAATTTAAATCATGTTTCCCACTAGGAAACAAATGCCGTTTTCGCCTTTTAAACCCAATCTCTCTTGAACGCCTTATCCCAGGGCAGGCGGCTTCCCGGTCAGTTGAAAGGCAATTCTCAAACATCCTTTCGTCTCAGACATTCAGCTCTTACCTTGCTCGTTTTTTAATTTAGATTTAAAAAAAATATTACTCTGGGAAATAGAAATATTGTTCTACTTGGAACTCTTAGACTGCAGTCACACACATGACATAATCCACTTTCAGTACACTTTCCAACACAGTAAAACTCCAGGAGAAAAGTACACTGAAAGTGGATTGAAAATGGATTATTTAGCGCGTGTGACTACAGCCTCACAGTGCAGTCGTAAGCAGTGTTTCCCCTAAGTGGAGTTAGTGTGAGCTAGCTCACAGGTTTTTTTAGCCTCCAGCTCACACATTTTTGTCTCAGCACAGGAAGGAGGGCTCCAGAGCAGACTAATTGATGCAGCAGCCAAATCGCTCCTGCTCACAACTTGAATGCCAGTTGCTCACAAAGTAGAATTTTTGCTCACAAGACTCCACAGCTTAGAGGGAATGTTGGTCGTAAGTCAAGTCACCCCCTTCTAGGCCTACTGAACTGCTTCGGCAATGGCCCAGGCTGGCCCGATCTTGTCAGATCTTGGAAGCTAAGCAGGGTCAGCCCTGGTTAGTACTTGGATGGGAGACCACCAAGGAAGTCCAGGGTCGTGACACTGAGGCAGGCAATGGAAAACCACCTCTGAATGTTTCTTGCTTTGAAAACCCCTTGAGGGGTCATCATAAGTTGTCTGCGACTTGAAGGCACTTTCTACCACCGCCATGCCTGTTGAAGGCAACAAACTTGGAAGGGTGTATGTACAGATGAAGCTGCCTTATACTGAATCAGAGCCTTGGTCCATCAAGGTCAGTACTGTCTACTCAGACTGGCAGCTGCTCTCCAGGATCTCAGGTGGTGGTCTTCCACATCATCTTGTACCTGACCCTTTAAGAGAGCCAGTTTGGTGTAGTGGTTAAGTGCGCGGACTCTAATCTGGGAGAACCGGGATTGATTCCCCACTCCTCGACTTGCACCTGGCTGGATGACCTTGGGCAAGCCACAGTTCTGATAAGAGCTGTCCTTGAAAAAGAGCCGTTTCTGTCAAGAGCTCTCTCAGCCCCACCTACCTCACAGGGTGTCTGTTGTGAGGAGGGGGAGGGAAAGGAGTTTGTAAGCCGCTCTGAGACTCCCTTGGGTAGTGAAGGGTGGGGGTATAAATCCAATCTCTTCTTCTTCTTTTACCTCACAGGATGTCTGTGGTGGGGAGGGGAAGGGAAAGGAGTTTGTAAGCCACTCTGAGACTCCTTTGGATATTGAAGGGCGGGGTATAAATCCAATCTCTTCTTCTCTCTTCTTTAAATTGGAAATCGGAAATGCTGGGGATTGAACCAAGGACCTTCTGCGTACCAAGCAGACACTCTGCCGCCGAGCCACAGTTCCACCCTACCACACCCCTCTGCTTTGGAGGGCACAGATAGAGAGCTTAGGAAGAGTTGGACTCGCCGTCTCAGTGGCCCAACACACCCTTCCAACCGAGCCAAAGAGGTTCACAAGAAAAGAAAAAATGAAACCAACTCCCTCAGATAAAAAAATTCTTGCTTTGTTTAACAAAATACCTGATGCTGAACCCAAAATCAAAATATCGCAGGGAAGGGTAAAACAATGGGCAATGTCACTGCTGGGCCAGCCCCGTGAAAGTGCGTTCTTGACCCCTTTGGGGGGCATTTGGTCGCAATCGAATGTTGCCCACTAGCAGGCAGTGTCCAAACCCTTATTCGGAGTCCTGAGGTCAGTGGAGACCACTGGGAGGAGCCTGAGAAAGAGCTTCCAGAATGATCAATAAGCTAAAGAGCCATTCGGGTGGCATCGGCGGAGGGGCTGTGTGGCTCAAGGGAAGAGCCTCTGCTTGGGATGCAGAAGGTCCCCGGTTTGATCCCCGGCATCTCCAGTTAAAAAAGGACTGGGTGGACGGTGATGTGAAAGACCTCAGCCTGGAACCCTGGAGAGCCAGTGAGGAGACAATGCCGACCTTGATGGCCCACAGGTCTCATTCGGTGTAAGACAGCTTCATGTGTCTTCGCTGCAAGAGGATGTCCTTTGGGCCCAGAGTCAACAGACCAGCTAACCACCCCCTCTGCCTGATTCAGCAAAGCATCCTATCCCTTCTGTCCAGGAAGGATGCAGATAAGAAGCGTCTAAAGCAGTGTTCCCTCTAAGCTGAGTTAGTGTGAGCTAGCTCACAGTCCTTTAGCCTCCAGCTCACACATTTTTGTCTGAGCTCAGGAAGGATGGCTCCAGAGCCAACTAATTGATGCAGTAGCCAAACCGCTCGCTCACAACTTTAATGCCAGCAGCTCACAAAGCAGGATATTTTTGCTCACAAGACTCCACAGCTTAGAGGGAGCATTGGTCTAAAGTAGAGCAATGAATTGGGAAGTCCCTGGTTCAAACCCTGCCTTTGTCACATGGAGGACATCTCCATCCACAGTGCTATTCTTGTAAGTAGCAGATTTGATAGTTGTTAGGTCAGTGATACAGAGACCCTCACAGCCATGGTCATGGTCAATGCTCCCTCTAAGCTGTGGAGTCCTGTGAGCAAAAATCCTACTTTGTGAGCTACTGGCATTAAAGTTGTGAGTGGGTGATTTGGCTGCAGCATAAATTAGTTTGCTCTGGAGCCCTCCTTCCTGAGCTGAGACAAAAATGTGTGAGCCAAAGGCTCAAAAACTGTGAGCTTTTGTTGTTGTTGTTCAGTCGCACAGTCGAGTCCGACTCTTCACGACCCCATGTACCAGATCACACCAGGCCTTCCGGTCTTCCGCCATCCTCTAATGTTTGCTCAACTTCATGTTCGTTGCATCTACGACACTGTCTAACCATCTCATCCTTTGCCGTCCCCGTCTTCTTTGACCTTCAATCTTTCCCAGCATCAGGGTCTTCTCCAGTGAGTGCTCCCTTCTCATTTGGTGTGTGAGCCGGAGGCTCAAAAACGGGGAGCTAGCTCACACTAACTCAGCTTAGAGGGAACACTGGTCAGGGTATCTGCACAGCAAAGCAGCTATCTAGGGATGCGGAAAATTATTACTTTGTAATTTTTTTAAAAAATAACCTGTTCAACAACAACAACAAAAAAAAAGGAGGCTGAGCATGCTTTCGGACACCCAAAATGCAGAGGGGAGTTAGGTAGGGGGAACAGAAGGTGTTGGGGTAACTGGTCTGCTCAAGGTCCTGAGAACTTCCTGGAAGGGAAGATTTGGGCCAGGGAAAAGCCCCCCAATATTCTTCATGCCCCCCCCACCTCGGGCAGATAATAATGCCGTACAGAACCCGATCGTGTCAGATCTCGGAAGCTAAGCAAGGCTGGGCCTGGTTAGTACTTGGGTGGGGGACCGCCAAGGGAAGTCCAGGGTTGCCACAGAGAGGCAGGCGATGGCGAACCACCTCTGAACATCTCATGCCTCGAAATCCCCTTGAGGGGTCGTCATAAGTCAGCTGTGACTTGACGGCAAGAACAGAAAGCCAAACAGGGCTCTCAGCTATGGCTTTGAACACGGGATAACACAATTTTGAAACATTCTTCTAAGGTTACTATAAGTGAGTTGAGTCATCTCTGCGTTTGCTCCCGCAGGATAATGACAGCTTGCAAAAACGGGAGTCGGCTGCCAAGATCGGAATGCAAAGATGGCTTCGGAAGTCGTGGGCATCACCTGTCCTCCCACCTGAGGGCTTGTGCCAGACAGCGATTCCGGAATGCGTGGGTCATTTGCTGCCCTGGCCCTGTTTGCTTGCAGTACCCGTTGCCGTGTCCCAGTTGCCCCTTTGGGGAGGCTTTTAAGGATCACCCTAATTTTTTTTAGCACTCACACAGGCATGTTTAATTGATTCAAAGTTTCAGCTTTCTCCGCTTGGGGGGGGGGGGGGGGAGTCCTCTGGAAGTTAAACTTCTGTGTGTGGGCTGGGTTGATTACATTTTTTAAAAATCCCGGTTTCCAGACAAAACCTGTCTTCCAGGGCTTCTGGTGATAATAATAATTACTAGATGTGTAAAAAAGGCAGTCTCTGGCGCTGCACATCAGTGAAACTGAGACACAGGTTTTGATCTCAGGCTTACAGTAAACCCCAAACAAACAAAAACGCCAAGGAGTCGGAGGGGCAGGCGGAGAAAGGAGGTCAGATTGACAAAGCCAGAACTGGAAAGGGAATGGAGGGCAGGCTTGGATCGCCAAATGGGACCAGCCATTCCCACTAGGATAATGGCACCGCTCTCACTCAGCACGGGGAACACCTTGAGCACACCTGGCTGTACTTCGAAGCAAACAAAACAGATCCACTCCTGACATGCCCCGAGACAAGTTCTGTTAGACTTTATTAATAAATAAATAAACAAACTTACCATCACTCATCTTTCCCCTTCTGCTCTCTGCCTCCTTGCAATCCTCCCTTGGGCTCCTGAAGACACTTCAGTGCAAATATTACTCTGCTTACCTGCTAATATAGGGAGCTGTCAAAACATGTGACGGGAGGGATCTTAGCCGAGGAGTTCTCCAATCGCAGAGCGCCGTCTGGGCAGCCTGTTGCAATCCTCGGGAATGGTAACCTGCCGTTCCACAAGCCTGGCTACCTGCTACACCGGTGATTACCTGCTACCTGGAACTAGGTGATAGGGGATGCGCCATCCCCACTGGTCGTCAGCAGGGGGCGCCCACACCCACGCATAGTTGAAACACGAGTGAGTTTCAAGCCCAGAATCCGACCAGGGTCTGAGCCCAGAAGGGCACACCTGAGTACATATAGTTGCCAACTCTAGGATTCCTAGATTTCTTTTTTTTGGAGGGGGGAGCCTGGAAAGACTGGGGTCTGGGGAGGAGAGGGACCTCAGTGGTATATAACACTAGAATCCACCCTCCAAAACAGACATTTTCTCCAGGGGAACTGATCTCAATAGACTGGAGATCGCTTGTGATACCAGGAGGTCTCCTGGCCCCACCTGGAGATTGGCAGCCCTATGTGTACAGTGCTAGGGCTGTGTATCATATTTCCCCCATGATTCATTTATGTAATAGGCGCCCATTCTTGCATAAGAATATCATGACAAGCATCATTGTGAGAAGTGTTTATAAGGATGAGATGCTTAGACAGTGTAATCGATGCAACGAACATGAAATTAAGCAAGCTCCGGAGCAGGGCGGAAGACAGGAGGGCCCGGCGTGATGTGGTCCAGGGGGTCGTGAAGAGTCGGACTCGACTGTGCGACTGAACGACAACATAGCCACGCCAGGGCTCCCGTAGAGCAGCGAAGGAGAAAATGGAAGTCAGCTGCCCCAAGGAGGGTGCAGGCTCAGTTTCTCCTGTCGGAGAAAGCAACCAAGGAAGGGGAGGGACAGGTGAGGCCCAAGAGAGAGCAAACAAGACTCGCTTGGTTGTCAGTGTGAAGTGTGGGTAAGTATTATCATCTGTAATAAAGATAAATAAGAACAATCTCTTTACATTCTTTATGTAGTTTGGTGTAGTGGTTAAGTGCGCGGACTCTAATCTGGGAGAACCGGGTTTGATTCCCCACTCCTCCACCTGCACCTGGCTGGATGACCTTGGGCAAGCCATAGTTCTGGCACAACGGTTCTTGAAAAAGAGCAGTCTCTGCCAAAGCTCTCTCAGCCCCACCTACCTCACAGGGTGTCTGTTGTGGGGAGGGGGAGGGAAAGGAGTCTGTAAGCCGCTCTGAGACTCCCTTGGGTAGTGAAGGGTGGGGTATAAATCCAATCTCTTCTTCTTCTTCGTGAAAAAGAGCAGTTTATGTCAGAGCTCTCTCAGCCCCACCTACCTCACAGGGTGTCTGTTGTGGGGAGGGGAAAGGAGTTTGTCAGCCGCTCTGAGACTCCCTTGGGTAGTGAAGGGCGGGGTATAAATCCAATCTCTTCTTCTTCTTCGTGAAAAAGAGCAGTTTCTCTCTCAGCCCCACCTACCTCACAGGGTGTCTGTTGTGGGGAGGGGAAGGGAAAGGAGTTTGTCAGCCGCTCTGAGACTCCCTTGGGTAGTGAAGGGCGGGGTATAAATCCAATCTCTTCTTCTTCTTCGTGAAAAAGAGCAGTTTGTGTCAGACTTCTCTCAGCCCCACCTGCCTCACAGGGTGTCTGTTGTGGGGAGGGGAAGGGAAAGGAGTTTGTCAGCCGCTCTGAGACTCCCTTGGGTAGTGAAGGGCGGGGTATAAATCCAATCTCTTCTTCTTCTTCGTGAAAAAGAGCAGTTTATGTCAGAGCTCTCTCAGCCCCACCTGCCTCACAGGGTGTCTGTTGTGGGGAGGGGAAGGGAAAGGAGTTTGTCAGCCGCTCTGAGACTCCCTTGGGTAGTGAAGGGCAGGGTTTAAATCCAGTCTCCTCCTCCTCCTCCTTCTAACGTTCATGGCTCTCTGCCAACGAGAAGACAACTGATCCCTGCTCAGAGGATTTCCCAATCTAAAACTGGATATAAAAGAGGCAGCAAAAAGGTAGCAAGAAGAACTGAGGAAGGAAAATATTTCCATTCTAGTCCCTTGGGCTGATGCTGCTCACCCAGGGAGGGGGGGAGGAGGCCACTGATGGGACGACACCCTCTGAAGTAGCTCCTTTGCATCACGTCTCAATCAAGCCTTAGATCCACGGCTTCTAAAAATGTGCCAGCGGGTATGATGTGTGCCATTCCGGGGACCAAAAAAACCCATGCAGCTAGGAAAAGAGCATTTGTAGAGATCAGAAATTCCAGCCACACAGCAGCGTCTGTGCTGTGTTATTTTGAACAGAACAACAGCCGCCACATCCCCAGTTCTGAGGATTTCCCCCTCCTCCTTGGTGCCACGGAACGTGACTCAAAGTGCTTGTGTACCCATCAGGAAAGGGCACAAGTGTACTGCAGTGGTGGATACCTCCAAGCCATTTCCAGATCTCCCTTTTAAAACACCCTGATTTAGTAAGGAGGGGGCAGCTGAGGGTTGGAGCCAAAATGCTTTCTGGAAAAGATGGATTTGGAGGCGGGATTTGAATGAGGGGAGGTATTGTGTAAGGGGCTTTGTTGTTTTTTTTGTGGTGGTGTTTTGTGCCTGTGGAGGGATTCCAGTCTGGGAGAAAGGGCGGTGGTCTCCGGATGGCCAAGGATGGTGGAACTGGGGGAGGAAAAGTTGCCGGTGTGTTTAGAGGTAACATTGAATGGAGCCGAACTATCTCACACACAAGGACGTATTTCTTTATATACATGATCCATTGGAAAAAACTATGAATGCCTCTGGATAAAAGGATTGGGGGGGGGGGAGGGAGAAGCTGCTCTCTTTTCTACTCTCTGGGGTCCACAGCTTCGTTCCGTATAATGATGGGGATCCGGGCCGTCACAGAGCTCATGCAAGGGAAGTAGACGGTCCCTGTCAAATCGTACCCGACGTCCATGATCTCGTCGGACTTGTGGGAGCTGGTGACCAGCATGACCTTGGGCAGCAGGAGGGTACTGTGGATCTTGGTGTCCACACAGGACCCCGCCTCGAGGTGCGACTCCAAGCGCAACAGGTCGCTTCGCTCTTCCAAGGTGCGCCGCTCGGCCCTCAGGTTGAAGCCCTTGTACAGGAGAACCGAGTGGAGGATGAAGACCACTTTCTTGATGGACTTGCCCGTGTGGTTAGTAATCTCGGTGGTGAAGGAAACGTTGTCCCCCGGCGTGAAGATGTTCTTGCACAGGGATAGGCGTAATGTGATGGGGGCAGTCTTGAAGCAGCAGCTGTGACGGAGTTGTTTCTCCACTTCTACCACCAACGGGTACTGGAATGAGGCGGAAGAGGGGAGAGAGATGTCACAGGGTGAGGGTCGAAGAGGCAGAAGGACTTCCGTCATGCCATTGGCCTATCCAGCCTACACCACAGGCGGTCCCAAAGTCCCCATAGTCTGGAAACAACTTATGCAACACTCTTAGACCCTGAACAAGTACAGCCTGTGTTTCTGCATCAGTCACAATCAGGATGCGTCTCCTGCGTGGAAGGAGACAATGCAAGAACAGTCACTTCCATCTTTTTATGTCAGTATATAAGTTAAATCAGGAATCCCAAACATGGTGCCCGTCGGCACCATTGCACCTGCTGACGCACTTTCTGGTGCCCACCAAGGATTTTTGGAAAGTGGGTGGGGTTTCTGCCCAGCATGGCTTCTGATTGGCCACTGGAGATTTGATTGGCCGTGCAGATTTTTAAAAACATTGCGTTGGCGACAGTGGCCACCACAGCACAAGGATCTCCGATGCGTGACTGAAGGCAAGCTGAGGCTACCATTTTGTAGCTGACTCCACCTCCTAGAGCAGCCATGTTATGGCAGCCATGCTGTGGCTGTGCCAACCACGCTACGTCAGAGGTCCAAAGGTGCCTATAGGTTCAAAAAGGTTGGGGCTCCATGAGCTAAATGTTGAAAAACAGTTCTGTTACCTTTCAACAATGCTTTGCAAGACATTATCAATTTGGATAAGGATGAAAATTATAATTAAAAGCATTAGCTATTTGGGCATAAAGATAAGTCACAACAACGTCAGAGTCTTAGGGCCTGGTCACACGGACGTTTAGTGCGGGACTCGCAGCCGATCTCTCCTGCATTAAAGTTTCCTGTCTATATAGGCAATCCCGCCTCCCGCCCCGAAGCCGGCAGAGTCCCGCGGTTTTTGCTCTTTTATCCGCGGTTTTTTGACCCCTGTTGGAACTGGTGTTTTCCCTCTATCTTGCGCTTTATATTCGCTTCTTTGGTATCTGGACATCGATCCGCCGTGATAGCGCTCCCCCCCCCCTTTTTTTCTTTGTTTCCGGTTAAAGTCATGCGCATGCTCAAATGGGCACTCACTTTTATTTTGTTTTTTGGGGTTGTTTGTGTGTATGTACGCCCCAGCGCCCGAGCGACCAAGCGCCTGTTTAACCACATTGTTTATTGATAGACGAGCGCATGCACGGGGTTTTTTTTTTGGGAAAAAAAACCCGCGATCGCGGGGACGGCGCGGCTGTGTGAACAATTACTCGCGCAAGTAAAGCGGGATGCAGAGGGACCGTCTGAACACCATCAAAGCGACATGGGTGTCCCGGATGTAATTACTGCGGGAAAACTCGCGTGGCAAGGGGTCCGTGTGACCATAGCCTTAGAGGATGATGTCAAACCAGTGATACTTGGCTTTAAACAAAAACTTGTCCTTTGGAATTTGATTCAGGTGGGGTAGCCCTGTTGGAAACAGTAGAACAAAGTTTGAGTCCAGTGGCACCTTTAAGACCAACAAAGTTATATTCTGGGCATGAGCACTTCTTCGAAGAAGAAAGGTTATACCCAGAATTAAACTTTGTTGGTCTTAAAGGTGCCACTGGACTCAAACTTTGTTCTGTTGCCCTTTGGAGGTCATTTAATCTTTCTATGTTGGGGCATTAAGATTATGATGCTAGTACCAAAACTGATTTGTCTGCTATTGAATAATCTGTATGTTATCAGGAAGAAGATTCGAAAAGAGCAGCAAGGAAAGTTTCATGAATTCATTTGGAAATTTAAAACCCCCTTAAGTGACTTGGGCTGTTGCTTAGTTAAAATCGTCTACAGGCGGTTTTGCTGTTCCCAGTATCAAAGCTTTCCAGGATGCTGGTAAATTAATATGGATCTGTAGATGGTTAAATGTCGATAGCAGGCCATCTGAAGCAACAATTGAGCAAAGCGCCTTAAAGCACCTGGTATTTTTGGCCACTGTGTGACAGAGTGTTGGACTGGATGGGCCAATGGCCTGATCCAACATTGGCTTCTCTTATGTTCTTAAAATTCCACTCAGAACTTTTCTCTGGGCATATAATGTCACAAGGAAAAGAGGTCATGAAAATGATAATATTGTGATTACTAATTTATTGTTAGTTTGGGATAAGTATAAAAGGAAATCCCCTCTAGGTGTTTTGCCCTGGGATCAGTTGCGAGAGACTTAGACATTATGTCAAAAGTTTCAGTTTTATGGCTTCCGGTCTGGACTCTGTGAATGGCGGTCGCAACTTCGGGAAGCTCCCGGAGGCGATTTGCCCACGCGCGGCCAAGGGGGGGAATCCGCACAAGCGGAGACCCCAAGGAGCCTCAGACAGAGGTTCCGATCCGGGGCACACAGGGGATGTGCCTCTTTCCTGGCCCGAAGGTCGGAAATTGAGGCTCGCCCCATGCCCCAATGGCTCTTGCCGCGGCAGTGCCCCATACGGGGACTAGCAGAGCCGCCGGACGTCACCGAGTGATGAAGCAATAAAGCGTTTCAATAGAAGATATTCGGCCAAAACTGTGAGTTGCCGATCGGGAACAGAAAAAAGAGCGAAGCGCATTCCCCCCCCAACGAAAAAGCACAAGGGAGGAGGGAGAGGGTCCCCCCCCCGACAAAACAGAGACTGATTTAACAGAAAGAAGAGGGGGGGAGTGAAATTTCAAAAGAGTGGTGTTACCTTTTGGTGAATTGTTGAAAGAAAGATAGATTCATTTCTCAGCCACACGGCACGAACTTTTAAAAAGTAAACAATAAAGCAAAGATGTCGGGGCAGAAAAAGTTTCAGGAGAAGCCGGTAAAGAAGCTGGGAGGAACTTCCGGTGCTATCTCCCGCCCCTTGGAGCCGGCTGTCACTCAACAGGAGAGCGAGCTTTTGCGCCCTCTGCTGGAGCAAATGCAAAAAATAAATCAGACATTGACAAGCATGGAAAGTGTTCTCAGTAACCAGCAGATCCAGCTGAATGATACAGCTAAGAAAATGGAGGAAATCGCGCAAAAATGTCTGGTCTCAGCAGAAGATACTCAAAAGGTCAAGAAGAAGGTGGAGAAAATGGGAAAACATCAAGAAATGCAAGATAAAAAGTTATTGATGCTTCAAATGGAAAAATCAAATTTGACTCTCCGATTTCAAGGCATAAAAGAACAGGAAAAAGAAGATCTCCGAAGTATTCTAGTGGAAGCTTTGGCATCACTCACCGGCAGAGAAGCGGAAAAAATAAGCGAGGAAATGGATCTGGTCTACAGATCCTATTCCAACTACACAAAGATGAACAATCTACCGGCAGAAGTGGTAGTCAAGTTTACAAAGCAGAGAAGTCGGGATCAAATACTGAGAGCGTCTTCAGCAACGCTTATGAAAATTGGAGAGCAGACAGAATTTTGAAGGATGTTCCATTTGAAATCTGAATGAAGAGGAAGGCTTACAAAGGGCTGACCTTGTTCTTGCAAAATCACCAAATTAGTTATCGATGGTTGATTCCAGAAGAATTTAACTTTAAATTTAAAGATAAAAGGGAGAAGATCGACTCCATTTTCAAGGCTCAAGACTTTTTGAAGAGACACGCCAGCTCAGAGGAGGCAGCACTCGCTAGATGGGAAGAAATGGACAGCGAAGGAGACAGCGGCTCGGAGACGGAGGATAAGACTCCGGAAGATGGAGGAGCAGGGAAAGGATCATCCTATAACCTGAGAGATATAAAAGGAAGGCAGCCCAGAACTTGAAGATTGGTTCGGAAAGCGCATGAAAGGACTTTATTAACAATAAACCAGAGGGACACTACTAATACATTAACACTTATATTTGTTTTTTACAGTTCAAGATGAAAGACGATTGACAACTCACGGAAGGAGCCAAAAGAAGATTTGTTTACTACTAACAAAAGATTAATATACTAATTGAGCATCACTCACACTTTTCTTAGTCCAGCTATATACCCTCCCCCTTTCTGATATTAAAAGCAATAAACTCTCTCCTTTTTAGGAGAGTCAATTAAAAAAAAAGTTTCAGTTTTCTGCTCTAAGCAAATGAGAAAGCTGTAATTTAGACTGTTATAAGAACTTGATTTCCCAGAGTGATATAATTCATTTTGATAGCATCTTGCTTTGATTATGTGCAGATGAGAACCTTCCTTTGTAAAACAATTACTCTTGAAGGCAACTGAATGACTTTGAAAATCTAATTACACAACCTCAGGAATATTATCTCTCAAAATCATATCGTTTGATTGTAATGTAAACTCTGTTCCCTAAATTCTCTCACAAGCGAGATCAGGCCTTAGGGCTATGAAGTAACAGAAGATGTTTGGAAGTTTGTGTATGCATACGCTTTAAAGAAGAAATCTATAAGATGATTCATTAGCCGTATCTTACATCAGAGCTGATTGCGAAGATATATCATTCTTGTTCAGGCAAATGTGGGCACTATAATACCAAATCAGTCGACTTTTTACACATGCAGGGATTCTATTCAAGTTTGGGTTGCCAACCTCCAGGTGGCACCTAGAGATCTCCCACTATCACAACTGGTCAGACAATCAAAATCAATTCCCCTGGAGAAAATGGCTGCTTTGGCGGTAGGGTGCCCAGGCTTCCTCGGCTTGCCGGTGGGGGAATTTGGGGGGCACTCCAGGGCAATGTTCCCTCTAAGCTGTGGAGTCTTGTGAGCAAAAATTCTACTTTGTGAGCTCCTGGCACTAAAGTTGTGAGCGAGCTATTTGGCTACTGCATAAATTAGTTTGCTCTGGAGCCATCTTTCCTGAGCGAAGAGAAAAATGTGTGAGCCGGAGGCTAAAAAACTGTGAGCTAGCTCACACTAACTCAGCTTAGAGGGAACACTGCTCCAGGGGTGGCAAGGGTGTTGTGCGATGTTCCCGATGCGATGACATCATCACATTGGGGATATCATGTGACCACGCTCTGCATTTTGGGCAAAACTCTATGGTTCTTTGGCCTAAAACCATAGAGTTTTGCCCCAAAAGCTGAGCATTGCCGCACGACGTCCCAATGTGATGACATCATA